AACGGTTTTTTTTTTTGGAATAATGGGCGAAAACACAATGTAAGCTTGTCGTTTAAACTTAATTTTAAATAAAATTTTGGGTGTTCTCAAGAAGCATACTCAATTAGTTAGTTAGTGGTCGTAATGGTGCTCATCCGTTATGGTAAAATTAATTAGACCTTTGTTAAAGATCAATAGGACAAATGGTAATGTAATTGACGTATTCTCAAGTATCTTTCTCAATGTAATAACTTGTAATTGTGTTTACGTTCAAGCAATTGAAATATTGATTTCGATTGATGGTTGTGCAAATACTTTTATTATCGTTACCATTGCTTTTACAAAACCGTAATAAAAAAAAAATAAAAATAAAAAAAAGGACGATGAATCAATAGAAACCAAAAACTCATGTCAGAAATTATAATTTCTGTTTCATCCTTTTCAGACTTCGCCAACTTTCATAGGTTGCTACAACAAAAACAAAATTAGCTGACACAACTTTTTTACTATAAGTAAACAAATATTGAATGTGAAAATTTTTAAGTGATGTAATATTTTTAGGTTTCGCTTTTAGCTTTGGCTAACGTTGAGCCCTTACATCTTGTGAAATGGAATGGTTGTATCTAGTGCCATATAACTGATAAATAAAGACTAGAATATGATAAGTATGGCCATTCGTGAAATTTCAGTTTTAATTCGTAGCGAAGGTTTTTTTAACATAAGCGTTGATTACAATTTTGAAGGTAAAAGGGTAAAGTGTTTGAACGGTTATTTTTTGTAATCCATCAATGAAAAATTTTAGCCAATCAGCGCAACTCTATGAATATTTTCTTATCGTTATCAATTCTGCAATTGGAAGTAAATTTTTCTCTATGACGTATTAAACTAAACTATTGAAGCTCTACAATTGATTCGGAAAACTATTTTTTTACTAATTAAAATTTGCTTCCCGACCTATTCCGATCAATCGACTAAGGCGCTTGAGAACACCCTTTATAATAAAGATGACAACTCCGTTTACAGCTATTCTAAATTCTGTAATAGCTTAATTACAAAGGCCAAAAGATTAATTATAATTTAGATAAATTTGAATAAGCAACTTAAAAATTGGAACAATGATTTTAAGTAACATAATTGGGATCAATGGGATAGTATTTGAGAACGAATTTACTAAAGAGATCTTTGAAGCAAATAATTTTATGATTCTTACGCCTTGAAAAATGTATTTATTAGTTTAATAACTTTTTAATTTAATTGGTTACCTTTATTTTTCGGTACAACAAAAAAAAAAAAAAATCCGAAATCATGTAACTGCATCAAAAATTTCACGCTCTCACTTTTACCAAGAAAAATTTTAAAAAACTCGATCATATGCGAGTTAATAATATACATCGATAACAATACAATACAATGAATTCACAAAATACATAAATACGATTATGTATGCGAAATCAGCCACTAGGGCCAGCCTCATTGATGTAAATAAAAATAAATTACAGGAATAAATCAGCCTTTTTTCAATCCTCGCTTTTTTTCTTGCTTAATCTTCCAGTATCACGTGAGGAGCTTCTTTCACTAACCTTTCTGGATCTTGTCAGTTGGTAAGACAATGCAAGTTCACAATAACTCCATTCTAAATAATGAATTAAAATTTTTGAGTGATTCGGTCAGATTTAGCTTTATGAAAAAAATACTTACCCATAAAGTTAATAAAACATGAACAAATTCTTCAATTTCATTAACTGACTCCATGCTAAAGGGTATTTTCGCTTTTAGCTATTGGAAGATAATATTTAATCCCTTTTCTCGTATAAGTCCATGGATTACGAGACATTCACCTGCAATATTGACACCCAATCCCATATAATTTTTGTACAAAATATCCTTTTTACACTTTTTTGAGATCCATCAAGACAAAGTTGTACTAATTTATTATGATCAAGTATTTTTTTTATCACTGGCATTCCACTTGCCACTCTCAAATACACAAGCTTCTCCCATCTTTGTCTATGATATGATCGTATCATGAGATCTAGTTTGTCTCCTCTTGACCCCTCATTATTTTGAACCTTGCGATTTTTACTCGCGATACTTTGTCGCTCAGCTCTTGTTACATCAATCTCACATTATACAGGTAGGTGGTACATGGTAGTATCCATCAAATGGGATATAAAAGAATTTTCGAAACCTCTAGAAATTTTACGAAGCGCATTAAATCTTATCTCCTGCAGTAATAATCTTCGCTATACGTCCATTGATTATGTGTTGCTATTTTTGTTGGTGATAGTACAAACCTTTTTAACTTTTGGACTTCGTTTCTTCTTACTACAAATATTCTTTATTTCATTATCTTTACTTAACATTCTTATACACGCATTTTCATTCTGTAAATAGTTTGTAAAATAATTAATCTCAATCGTAATCGATACTCGAAATTAATTCATTCAGCCTAATACTACATACCACAAGAGCAACATAGTCACTTTCCGACAATACCATTACATAATGGGTTATCAGGCGTTAAATCATCAATATTTATTTCAGGTATTTTCTTGAAAATAATCATATTGGCACATACTTTTATTGAAGCTGTCTTTTTCCAGTCAATTTGTTCTTCGAATTTCCCGCGTAGTAGCCCCACATCTACTAATGACATAAGCTCTTTCCAACTATATTGTATCTGCAAAAAATAGAAGTCGAATTAATAAAGTTAAAAAGTCATCATCTTTGGATCAGATAACCCGACTTTTAAATTTGTATTTGCCGGCTATTAGGATTTGTTTCTAAACCCTTACTGTCAATAATCATCATGAAAAATGCAATGAAAAAGACAGTATACCACTTACTCAATCGCATTACATAAATTAATGTCTAGACAATGTATTTTCATATATACTAAAAATGGTATATTTAGTGTTCCGACCGTCACAAAAATTCCAACCCGAGTCACCCGGGTGGTAAAAGAAATTCCGCAACGGGACACCCGTGGGTGGATTACCGGGTCATCCGAGTTGTAAAAGAATTTCTGCAATGGGATTTATACAAATAATTACAGTATTGTTAATAAATTTAAATTTTTACATTCTGGCGGATGGCCCTTTTAATCAGACCCCTAAATTAATCATTTTAAGGGTAATAATAATTATAGCAAATTAACAAATTATACAGATACCATTTAATATATCAGAGAATGACATTTTTTTATTTATGATTGATAAAATTAATACTGTTATTAAGTAAACTTAGGGTTATTTATTCGCGTTGTTGAGTACAAAAATTATATTTAAACGTCGTATAAATAAAAATCTAAATTTAACGATAATTATTTGTATAAATCCCGTTGCAGAAGTTCTTTTACTACTCAGATGACCCAGGTGCAGGTGACCCGTTGCGGAATTTCTCTTACCACCCGGGTGACCGGTTTGAAATTTTTGTGACGGGTCGGAACACTAAATAGAATTTTGAAGTTAGATTAATAAATTATAAACTCGATTCAGAGTGTAATAAACGTCAATATTTAAGCTTGAGTTGTAAGATATAAGCAATTGTGATCCTCTGCCTAATAATAATCATGATCCAAAACTCGATCTGAATAGAGTACCTCAGTGAAACCTAGTTCCAAAGCCAAGTAAAGTAGCGTAGTATAAAATAGTATAGAATCAAGAAGTATTCGCTTACAAGCAAATTTGCTGTCCCGACCGATTATTAAATTAAACGAAATCAACATCAACAGTATAGCAGATAGGTAATTGTAAGTGAATTGTCTCAGCCAATCAGTATTGGCTATGACATATATATTACGACTAATGCTGATTGGCTAGACATGGAACGTGACATAAATAACGGTTGTAATGCGAATAACTCGGTTCGGTTAACCGATTGATGTTGGTTCATATCTCTAATCTATTATTTATAATAAAATTATAAAAAAAAATATTTTTTGTTAGAGCTATTCTAGCAAAAATTTGTAATGTTATAATATATATCGAATATACGTATACGGGTATAAAGTATATTAAAGTATATATGTACGTACGTAGTAAAAATACACAAATATAAAGTTCTGAGTTTCATCGTATAGTTTGAATTTACATAGTAACATAGTATATCACACACCCTAATATCATCATCAAATTTTGGTTTATTATTTCCCGCTACGCTCCGGACAATTAACCGAAAACTGAAAATCAATGACGTTATTTTAGCATTCTGGTGTACGTACGTACGAATTTACGTTATCTGTTATATGATACGTATAGATATCAGATATGTAACATAGTGTAGCATATATTATAAATCAAGCCTACCATCAAAATTTTATTAGATAATTATTACATTACACAATGTGTATAAATATCTTTTCATGGATTATGCATTTTTTTTTAGGTTTTAGTACCGAAAACACATTAATAATGAATAATAAATAAAAAAATGCAAGGCATTGTTACATAAATTGTCACTTTAAATACCGTAAAATATGGAAAATAAGCACAGCACCCTCTACCCTGCTTTTTTCAATTTCAGATTAACGGGAATAACTTGATTAAAGATTTTTTGTTAATTCCGTTAATTTGAAATTGAAAAAAGTAGGGTAGAGGGTGCTATGCTTATTCTCCATATTTTAACTAAAAAAAAAAAAGGCTAATCTGATTTCTGCATATTGATTCTTTTGCGAATTAAGAAAGTGCGATTAATATATACCGATACCGCGATACATTATCTCCTATGCATTGTATATATACTGCAGTCTACTAAATTTAATATATTGATTGCAATTCATCAACATAAATAAAACTATACAAATAAAAATAAATTAGGAAAGTTATTGTTTAAATAAAATAAGAGCACTATTTATAGGAAAAAGCGACCTACTTCTTCTTCTTCTTCACATGACAAAATGATCCAGTCGTGTTCCCACGACCATGAATCTTCAAGCCCACTGCAAATATATATAGAATTAAATAAATAAAATTTATATATATTATATTATTATTAATATATATTTTTATAAACAAAAGAATTTAAATAAAATAAAATAAACTTATTAAACTAACTAACATGCTCGAAGTACTATAACCAGTATAATATTTTTTGATCTTCTTTTTCCAATTTTTAATATTTAGAACACCTTTCTTTCCAAATTTTTCAATAATTGGTATTCGATCATCATCATCATTAGTTTTTATTAATAATTCCAATTGTTTATATTTATGACATCGTTTCTCTTCATAATTTTCGAGGAATGAATTTAATGAATCAGATGAAAATGTCCAACAAGATCTCGTAACAAATTTACGTAAATTAGGTTGTATAACTTTTCCCATTTCTGATAATGTTTCACCAATATCGATCAAATCCGTATATCTATCATTACAATTTCCATCAAGGCATACTATAATTTCAAGTTTTTTACAAGATGTAAAAAGATTTGGAAGTCGTGAGATTTCATCATCTGGAATTAATGCTTGAAGAATGATAAGATTTGGACAATTATCAGCAATAGCATTAATAAAGTCTGCAGAATGTTTTGACCCTTGAATTAAATTGAATTTTAAATAAATATCTTGTAATAAATGAGTATTTCTAATTAATGTTGATATTTGATCCAAGTATAGATTGTTGAAATCAAGATGTAATTTTCTAAGTTGAGAAAATTGCGAGCAAACAAAGAATTCAAATGTTGCTTTTGAAATAAATTCATCGGATGATAATTTTAAATCAACAAGATTTGAACATTCACATAACCCTTTGAGATTTATCGAAATCATATGAGAGATATGAATTGTATGTAAGGATTTTACTATACATTTTAAAGCATCGGAAATCCAAGGAAGTTGTTGACTGGAAGAAATTGATATCTTTGATAAATTAGGTTGATTAATTATTAATCCTGCAATCATTTCATCATCTTCTTCACAATCGGATAATTCAATCTCAATTTCTTTAATTTTTCGAGCTTTTTGAACAATATTATTAAACCATTCAGTTGAAACATTGTCCTTTATAACAAAATGATTTAAAGAAGAAAAATGTTTTTGAGCACCAGGAAGATTTGTTAAATTTATATAATTAGGGGATAATTTATAATTTATCAAATTTGGACGAAATTTACATATAAATGATTTAAGGTATTTAATATGATTAAAAAATAATTTAAATAATTCATTTACAATTAAATAATAACTTTTAGTTGAACGTTGAACAGTTTTATCAGAATTATTTAACCAAACTACAACGCTATCAAAGATTAGTCTGTAATCAAGACTTTTTAAGAATGACGCGTAGTTAAAAGTTGGAGGAATTCTTGATAATTTTTTATTGATCCCTGATTTCTCTAAAGCGGATTTTGTTTCATTAGGTAAACAAGAGATGTAGACTTGAGTAAGCGCAGATACTTTTCTCCAATCAACAAACTGAGACTGTTTATCATACAGATATTCAAATGGAGTCTCCCAAAGAATCGGTGTAACAATCTCACATAAGGTTTTATTTGCTAGGAGACAATTATATAAACTTTCAATACTAGAAATCGAAAAGATCTTTATAAAAATAGATTTGGGAAGAGGAAGATTCATTGTTTTTTCTTTGCAGGAATAAAAGGTGGAAAAGTTAAATAGAATTTAAATAGAATTAAATAAATACGATCTCGGAAAATAAATACCTACGTAGAGAAATAAGAAAGGAAAAATAAGAAAGTTTTGTGAAACTTTTTTTATTGTTAAACATGATATTATCTACCCATTTTTATTGATGTTAAATGACTTAATGCAAATGTTTTTTAAACACATGACGTTCTTTATTAACATCACGTTATACATATAACAATAAAAAATGATATGCATTCACTTTCCAATTTTCATTTATATTTTCGCAACACAATATCAAACAAATCGAAAAAATCCAATAAGAATGAATAAATCTATCTATTGTCATACAATGCCTCAATAGTTTTTTCAAACAGTTTCACATAACGATAATACGTAACATTTTTATGTAAAACTTATCGTCATCTCGTATTTTATATATATATATATATTATATTATTATACGCAGTGTTGTACATGGACATATTTCTATATGTTCATGGATATTAACATCCATATTTTTATATGTCCATTGACAACACTGATTATACGTATATAGTATTTATAATTATTTATTCTCGTTATGTATATATACATTAGATATACATTTAGATATACATTTACTGTAGATCTTTTAAAGACGACTATATGCTCTATTATTACTTATTTGTGAATTTACAGTAATACATGTTTCAAAAAAGCCACATGATTCACACATTTGTTTCCTCTTTATTTTCCGACTCATTATTTCCCGATTCATTATTTTCCGGATCCGGATCCGTTCTAGTTACCGGCACTTCATCAGTTGGTCTAATTTCATTATCAATAGTAATAACGAAACTTAAAACAATATACATTAATGTTTTAAGAACAAATACTAAAAGAGAACCACCGGTAACCGCATCAGATTGATTATCAAGAAATTCAAACCAAACTAAAAGAAATGATAAACTTGCAAGTATCAAACTCCAATTTATCATTTTAACCCTGGAATTTGTTATTTCATTTATATCATTACCAGTTTCTGATTCAACTTGATTAGAATTATGACGAAGAATTTGAATGAATCGAATTGTTGCATATGTATAAATAATAAAATCCAAAATGATTGAACACCATGTTATAATAGTTGTTGGTTGATTGTCTTCATAATCACAAAAGTATGTTGGTGATATTCCTGGATCAGAATCTTGAAAAATTTGCGGAACAATAAAAATAAAGAGAAGAAACTAAAAATTTATTAAAAATAAATTAACATATTATATTTAATTTATTATATAAAATTAGCATAATAGTTTTATTTTTAAAAAATATAACTTACTGAAAAAACTATCATAATCATTAATAAACCTAAGCCGATTACAGAATCTTTTCGTTTTTTTTCTATCAATCTTAATCTCCATAAAAGGTATGCAGCAAAAGATATACGAAAAATTGCTTTGCCAATTGCATATAAATAACCTAAAGCTTGACATCCTACTAATGATACTTGACTTGGAGTTGCATAGTATCCAAATAGTAGGGCGAATTGCCAAAAGATACCATAATTGCAAATTATTCTAAACATATCTGAAACCTTTCCATAATTTCGTGTAAAATAATATTTTGTAGAAACTCCAAGATTATATAAAGAGATCTAAGAAAATAATGAATGAAAATTAGCATACATTCTTTACATTTTAAATAATTATTTAAATAATTATTTAAATATAGACACTATTTACCATACCACCGATCCCAAGGCAAAATGTCGTTATATAGGATTGAATTAAGTCTTCCATATTTTTTTTTTTATCGTTAATAATTTTTCGTTTTCAGATAATATTTTTTAGGGATGTTTGGAAGAGATCAAAATAGATAGATAGAATGAAATTCAATCGAAAATTCCAGTTTATTAAATGTTCACCGATTTTAGAATCTTAAAATGATTATCATTTATCATTTACAGTAACGTTCAACTTTTATTTTGGTTAAATCCGTTAAAAAAAAAACCTGAATGGTGATACTGTACTTTTTGATAACGATAATAACTTGCAAATACACCCTTTTTATATGAAACATAAGTACATACGTAAGTACTTGCGTGCGTACATATGTAATTATGTAATATTTAAATAAATGATCATCTTTCCGCATAATATATTCTTGTACACGTGGTCTATTAATAATTTTTGTTAAAAAAATTATCCAATTAGAAAAAAGTAAAACATATACTGGTTATATAGTATAAATATCGTCATAGTATACAGGTATAAAAGGTCGTACGTACGTACTATATATGATGAACTTTGTTCTGTCGGATTAAATGTCTATTTGCACCGACGGGAGTATCGTCACAAAAATTTATTGAATGTGGTTTTGAATTAATTGTGTAGACATTACATTGTTAAACAAGATGTGTATTATTATAAACCATGATCATATATGTCTTTATAAATTTACCTTTATCGTAACCCTACAAGGTTCTGTGGACATCTTTTCTCTTTATCGTTATGGTTACAATGAACTACCCAAAAAGTGATCGGAAAGTCGAATACGGTAAATAAATTTTTTTAACCTAAAGTAAAAATTACTATTTATGATTAATTTATTGAACTTTTAGGGTCCAAAGTTAATACGTATACAAAGTTAATATACACTAAGTTTATACAATTACTGTACGTACGTACGTTAGAAAAAAAAAGTTGGCATACCTTATTTTTTTTTTAATAAACTATATAATTATAAAACAACTCTATTATGCGAACAAACAAGGCATGCTTAATTTTCCTTAACATTTACCCCTATATTAAAGTTTGGAAAATTCTTTTTTTTCTATAAATATATGCAGTATATATATACCGTATAGTTCCGAAATTAAGCACCCCCCGAAATTAAGCACCATCAAATTTTATGTAATATCCGAAAATAAGCAC